AATTGCGTAGACTGACGTTTATTACAAAATGCTGCAGCTCTTATTACAAAATGCGTCGTTTGCATTTAATACAAAATACTACAGGCAATTACAAAATGCGTAAGGTATTACAAAATGCGTAGTTATTACAAAATGCCGCAGAACATACGGTCACAATAGCGTATAAGTATACCCGACAGTTAATGTCGAAGATTCTAAGGGTAATGGTGGTCCACGCGACTGTTTGAGTTGAGGTCAAGGTGTTTCAGTGTGATAGGAAACAGCACAAACACATGTTTTAATGCTTCCTCTTCCTTCTTGCTGAAACACCGTAAACCTCAACCAAGCAACGAGACACCATCACTTACCTTAATATCAATAGGGGTTGTTGCGTAAGCTTTTACCCGCTGTATCTATCAAGACGTCACTTGAAATAGGCCAGTCATGAAATTTGACCCTGCCCCGTGAATACGGCTACCCCGTTAATATGGCTAGATTTTCACGGCCCGTTGGTGACCATATCAACGAAGTTCTACTGCATGTAGATCATTTCATATGCTCTTAAAAGAACTCATCCTTGCCGCCATTATTTTCTTTCAAAACAACCAAATTCACAGTTACAATACTAGAAACTTTCACGCTTTCGATCACTAGCTGGTTTCATCTACCCAACTGCGGACAAATCTTAAGAAATTGTCTGTTTTTTCTTTTTTGGCTTCGTATCTGCAGGGTATCAGCAAAGACACACTCATTGACGGTTTCTTCAGAGGCGTCTGATTTAAAACTGGAATACATCAATTGTGAACTGCAAGGGCGATCATGGTGGAAAACCTGTTATTAGTATGAGTATGCAATTCATAGCAATTAAATCTATTTTCCAGCATTAAAAAGCGTTTTAGAAGCACCCATCTCCATCTGGCCCTTGGATTGAATGAATTGTCATTGGGGAGAAAGCACAGACGTGTTGTTGCTTCAAACGTCCCCCCCTACCTCGACCACTTATTGAAAGTATAGAGGAGAGAAGCGGTTTTTACTTTACTGCCAGGTTTTTCCAGGTTATGTATTGTCACAGAGGAAGAGGGAGCCAATCAGAACTTTGAAACGATCTGGTCTTCCAGTCTTATGATTGGCTGTTGAATGTACGTCGCATGCATCATTATTTTCCCGCCATAACGTGTGGTGTGAGAGTCTAGGGCCTGGCTTTTTCGATTTTTTTTAGTGAAACAATTTTTGTTTTGTTATTATATCAAGCTCAGAGTTGTTAGCTACTAACATGGACTTCTGCCATCAGTTAATGAAGTGAATTAAAACATCGCCTGAAAACCTGACTGTAAAATCGGCAAAATCCCGAAACAAGGTCGTAAATTTATTTTGCAAAAAATAATATGCTCTACATTTAGTAGCTGCTAAAAATAGTAGCCTTAATTAAGGCATATCTCGCGTTGCTGCGTTCAGAAGCCGCGGTATACGATTTATAAGTCGTGTGTTTGTTGGAACAAGCGAAATGAGATCAAGATGTTTTCGTTTTTTTTTATTTTTTTCAAATTAAAATAGCACAGAGAAAATCTTTTTACTGATCTATACTAACGACGTTATGAGTAATAGAAATATAAGAATACAGATCCTAGTTGTCAAGTATTTTTACAGAGCCGAGAGGAAGAAATAACTTTAAGCAAGGAAAATTATTTTGGGGGCTCTAATACTCGATTTGGTTAAAATATGTGTTAATATAAACGGACTGTATATGTCGGCGGATTGGAGAAGAGCGTCATTTGAGTATGAAATTAGACGATTTGTTTATCTATAGTATTCAAAATAACCGTTGTATATTTTTGATTAATAAAATTTGGTTAAAAGTCTTATTCCGCCCAAGACTGATTTGGATCAATGAACGAAAGAGAAAACTGCCTAGGAAAAAAGTAACCATATGCAGTTGTATAATTTTATTCCGGCAATATGTTTGTACAAAAGCACAGAGTATTCAAAATAACCTTTGTACATTAATAATGTGTGGTTAAAAAGTCATATTTTGGCTTTGCTGCCAAAGAGTGATTGCGATCATTGAACTTAAGAGAAAACTACAAGGGCAAAACAACTATTAGCCAAGTGTTTAATTTTTTTCCGGGAATATTTTTTAATGAGAACACAGATCATTCAAATAAGTGTGGTTAAAAAGTCCTTCTTCTGACGTCCGTTTGCCCAAGACTGACTTGGATCAATGAACGAAAAAGACGTTACCTATCTCTGTTGAGACTACAACAGTTCTAACACAAGTAACTATATTCATGTGTATAATTATACTCTTAATAAGTCGAAATAAAACGAAATTGTACGTTTTATGTGCGTGTTTTGAAGTGTTTTGCCAGGTTTTGTGAGGCTGCAGGCGTACAAATGGCGGCAAAAGTTTGTGCTTGCTGTTTTCAAGGGGAAGCGATCAGATTTTTTTAAAGTAAGGTTTTGATCTTGAAGGGCCGTTTTCAATTTTAATTTTAATGAATATCTCATTAGCTTTGTCGCTTTGGTAAAACAACGATTCAGACAGGTATGTAACCCCCCGCTCCCGGGGGTGCTTCCTTATATGGGGTACATATGTATGTGTGGCCCCAAAAGAGCTCAAAAGGTTTGGTTTTTTAAACCTTTTTGGTCATAAATAGCGCGTCGATTTTGGCGATTTTGGCCATTTCAGTCTTATAAAATAGGGTATGGTTTTTGTACTCTAGTCTTGAATTGGGTATGTTTTTTAGAAGAAGCTACCTTTTCATCATTATCGGTGAGACCATCAACAAAAGAGCTCTTCACAAATTATATGTTTACTTCAACTGTGTCAGGTCATAAATAGGGTAGGAAAAATCGCAGATTTTGGTCATAAATAGGGCAGGGTTTTGGGAAGCGGGCCGCACACCCCCACCCATTTTTTCTTTGAGTACCCCACCCCCCGGGACGTGACCTTGCTTAGCGTCAGAGCAAAACGGGAAAAGCTGTTTTATAAATTAACAGCTAAGTTCCGAGAACGGAAATATTTAGAGCTCCCATCGTCTGATAAATAGCGGGAATCGATGCAGAATATAAGAATTCTTTCACGCATTGAGAGATAACTATCTTATCTACTCGTGTCGTCTCGCGTTTTATATCAATTTATATAACATTTGTCTTCTTGTGTGCGTATTTTTGGCATACTGCTGAATTATTGTCGTGAATGGATGTTTACAGAAATGGATGATCGGTTTAAATTATAATGGATTTTTTTTCAAAAACGGATCAGCCCCTTTATTTTGACTATTACAATGTTTTTCTTAAGATTTGTGTCAATACGTGATTCAATTAATGAGGACTAGTGAGGAAGATAAAAATTTAAGTTGAGGAATTCAATTTAGCTGTTTCCGGTGGCCCTTTGAACGTTGCCATTCATTTAGTAAGGATTTCTTCTCTCGTTTAGTAGTTTATTTTAGTATATTATTTTGCAAAGCCCCCTGACTGAAAACCAGTATCTGTGACGTGGGTTTATAAGAATATTGTTTTGCCGTCCGAGGCAGAATATTCTTACTTTTCGGCCGATTTTAGGCTGAAATACCGTTGTGAATATTCTTAGATTATAGCGTACGGCATTTCTGTTTTGGAATGTGTTTGGCGTCTGGATGGTGTTAAAGTAATTCTGCAGCCAGCCTGCAGGCATAAAGCCTGATACCAAGGTCAGAACCTCTTGCAGAGATGTTATTAGCATCGGAAATACGGCTAGTACTGTTTTTGTTCTGTCGCCTAGAAAGGAAGAATTTTATACGACTCAGTAAACAACATTTAATTGTATTGTATTTACAAATTTTCAACACAACATTTTATTCTTTTCAAAATCTCAGCCTCGGCTTTATTTTTAAAATATTCTTAAAATTTCCCAAATTTCAGCCTCGGTATTCTTATGAAACATATTCTTACAAAAAACAAAGACATGAAAGAGTGTAACTTTAAATGAGAGGGCATGTGTTACAATTGTTGATTTTCGCTTTAAAGAAATTACAAAAGTTGAATGATTCATCTATAAATTATTGTCGGAGAGCAGTTAGTTACTCTCAAATATGTTATAACACCAAGTAAAAGATCAGGCTGAATCGCATTTTCAGTAGTATGCATAGGCTTTCAATTTCTCACGACTTTTGTTAAGCTCGTAAGGGCCACTTGAAGAAAAAGGAGCAAACTGTAGTCGTAAAATGAAAGGCTGGTCAAACGGCGGAAAAGATCTTGAATCACACATTTTAACATGGTCCGTTATCTAGACCAGTTGCAGATTGTACTTCTGCCTAACCGAAATACGGGGCCAAATTTATACAGAGTACATTTTTCTACAGTTCGAATCGCCTTGCAGCTTTTTAAAGGTTTGTTTATCGTGTCCAACGTGACGTTATTCTAATTTCCTGAAGTCTGAAGGGAAAAAAGTTGTCAACGCCGTTTTGGGTGACGTCAAATCCGATAACTCCCGCACGTGTCAGGACCACCGGATTTGTCTCATGTCTATGTTATCCTTCAGAGTCGTCTAATTGCTTTACCGGATCGTTTTTTGTTTTGTTTAGAAGGATCTTTCCACTGGTTTTAAACGGCCCAACTGGAACAAGAACGAATTCTAGGCTTCCCAGTCGGTGGTAGCGCGTAATTGTTCTTTACATGGTTATTCACACGAGTGAAGTCCACGGAAACACAATTACAATGGATTAGTTTTCTTGACAACGGAAAAATAATCACTTGTGACGTCACTCGCACCTTCAAGTGACAAGATTCCGAGAGCTTTCGGAAGAAGTGGGCCGTGTACGCGCAACAAGTTGTGAGCACGGGTTGTGAGTTGAAAGAACTTAAAACTTACTACGGAAACTTTGTAAATCACTGCATAGTTGATCGGGACTCAAGTTGACCTGGAATAGTTTCTTCGAAGAATTAATTAGCACCGAAGACAAGTACATCGTTCACAGGTCGTCAGCTTCAGCTTCTCTGGTAAAGCACAACAACATGGGAAATGCTTGTAGCGGTTTGCCTCCTGACTGTGAAATAATCGTCAAGACAGGCGATGTGAAAGGTGCAGGAACGGACGCTAATGTCTACTGCGCTATATACAACGAAGACAAGACCCGCTCGCGTGACTTAAACCTTGACTGCAAATGGAAGAACGATTTCGAAAAGGGCTCCGTGGACCATTTCAAAGTTCACTGCGGCCTTCCTCCTGGCCCACTGCACAAAATTGAAATCTGGAGAGATGACAGTGGCATCGGCGACGACTGGTTCGTCGAGTGGATCAAAGTGAAAAAGCTTAATCCTCCGGACAGCGACGAGGTTATCTTTCCGTGCAATCGATGGGTTAAGGCTGAACGAAGGCTTACTTTGACTCCGTACGACTGTGTTTTGCCACAGTTTGACGAAAATCCGGAACAACGAAAGCAGGAATTGGAAGATAAAAGAGACCTTTATCGTTTGTCTCGTAAAGCTCCAGGTATTCCGAAACAGGTAAGCTTTATCACGTAGCATTTGCCAACAATTCTGTGTTTGAAAAACTTTTTGAAGTAAATTAAAACTTACATAAGACTTTATGCTCACGTGTAAGTAAACATTTACTAGTTGAATCTTTGAGTGTTTTCTATTTAATATTTATCTGTATCTGTATCTTTTTCTGCAAGATATTTTTCGCGTGCCAAGTGGCAACAATTGAAGTACGCGAAGGTTATATATCTGACGTCGGCCAGTTACATTATTATTGTTATTAAACAAATGCAATAAAAATGAAACATTATTTAACTGTTTTGATTACGTAACTTCCAATTGATTTCCCTTCTTTCTAACTTGCTTTAGGTTGAAAGTTGTCCAAGGGACGAGAGTTTCAGCAATGACTACAAGGTATTTTCTCGCGGAAACTTAATTTTTTGCTTTAGGAAGTTAAAGAACTGACAGTTTTTCTCAGACGGGTATAAACGCTTATGTGACCTGATTTTGTAAGTGGACGAACAAAGAAAAAACTCTTTTGTTAAGGTCTCCTTATTTTACATTTAACAAAGCGTTATTTCAGTGGCTAAATGGTCCCTAAATGATCACATATCATTTATTCAGTTATTAAGCTAAGTTCTGCTCTGGATGGTCAAGTTATAGTACGTGTACCGCAAGTCAGATCTGTATTTCTGTTGACTTCATTGTTCATTTCAAACAATGCATATTTCCACTCTTTCTCTGAACATGTCACCTGTGTTTCAAGTGGTAATGGATGCTTTGTTAAATGATTGACACCTCTTTATGGGTTCATACAAATAAAAAACTAAAAGCGTTGGTAAAAATGTAAAGAAACAGTGGGGCAGCTGAGGCTCTGGGAACTTTTCAACCTTGAATTTTTGTGAAAGAAAAGATTGCAAATTTCCTATTACCGTATGAAAATATATGTTAATGGCATCTAGCATTTGCCAGTCGGGATTGACAATTCTAATCTCTTTATAATTTGTCGCGGTACACTCCTTTTATTACCAGTACTTGTGATTGTCTGGAAGCAGCTAGACACTACAGTTTTGGTCCAAAACGTTTCATTTGTTGTTAAACTTGCTTGAGGTCAGCAAATTTAGTCTGAAGTTTAGCGGGCATAAATTGGAAGTTTCACTGGTCAAGTGAAGGAACTTTTCAGAGCTGCAAAAATTTGTAAAATTTTAAATTAATGTGCTGAAAATCGTGACATTTTATAACTACTTGCAAATGACTGTATTTAGACATACCTTTCAATTTGAGCATTTTAATTATTGTTATGTTGTAATGGTCATATACCATAATAATTATGGTATATGACCCTTTGTGACTGAGAGCAATAGTTGCCCTCAGTCACAAAATTTGCACATGAATTGAAACTTCAAACACATTTTCCAAGCGAAATAATTTGCTTTAGCCATTTTGAATCTTTTTCTGCAGTGGAACATTCAGCAGACCAAGTATAAACTGGCTGTGAAATGTAAGCTGGCAAAGCTGACATCAGATCCATGGGAAACTTTAGATGACTTCAGCAATCTCTACAAAGGAAGTCTCAACATGCCTTATGTAAGTTGCATGGCATTTATTATTAGTTCTGAACTTTGAGTATAAATCAGCAAAATATTAGTAATAACATAAGCAAAGCTAATAATTGTTCTGTTAGAGATTTTTTGTTGGTTTACATTTGTTATAAATTATTTTCTGAGGCATGGATCTGTAAGATAAAGGTAATTTTTTTTTTGCATGTGTGTGTGTGCAGGGTTATTTCAACTGGAAAGAAGATTCCAACTTTGGTCGTCAGAGGGTTCAAGGGTGCAATCCTACCCTTCTCAGACTTTGCACTGAAATTCCAGAAAAGTAAGACTATGCTATTTTCTTAGTTCATTAATTTACCAATTTTAGCCTGTAGAGAATATTATTAGTCTGACTAAAATTGCTTACCTATTTTAGTTTTAAAAGCACTAAATTTGGTGTCTGGACCATCTTTAGAATCATACAAAATGCAAATCAATAATAATTATTATAAACATCAATAGTGCCAATCTGTCTACTAAGTTTCAAATTCATAGACTCATTAATTGGCTGCTCAAAAGACAGTTTGTAAATCTGATACAAGATGAAAGCAAACTTTGATATCAGATGGCTAGAGGTATTGGGCAAACAGCAGAGGCAAGATAATATGTAAAAAGTTTCTTAAATTCTGTTAAGATTCTTATTTACTATTTAGTTTTCATTGTTTCTTCTTTGCGATATATTAATAATATTTGGAATCAGTTTTAAGGTCACAGCTGAGATGGTTGAACCTTTTCTGGAAGGGATGACACTCGAAGATGCAATGAAAAACAAGAAAATCTACATTGTGAACTTGAAAAAACTAAGTGATGTCATGTGTAGATTCAACAGAGTGGTGAGTAACAGAAACTTAGCTATTGCTCCTGCTGTGGAATTGTAGACTTGTAGGGGTTTCATTTAATTAATCAGCAGGAGGGAAACTGGTTTTTACTGGTGGGCAAAACTATTCGAACTGAAATTCTGTATAAGAAGAACTTTCTGCCAGAAGGTCAAACCAGGGGGGCAAAATCGTTCTAGCAGCCGGTCAATTTGCATGGAGCTGGGCTTCTAATGAAACCCCTGACTTGTGCACGACCTTGCTGCCCTTAAGTTCTTGGAAAACATATTAGTTTACGCTATTTGTAGTGGGTTATTTTTTTCAAATTTTGTCAAATTTTGTCAGGATAATAGTATTATAAAGAACTGTTTTAAGAGAGTTATGGTAGTAAATGGCAGATGCATGTGGAATGAATGTGTAATCCAAGACCAATCTAATCTGAACAGTATTTTTTTCTTCTTTTTTAAGAGTTTAAGTGGTTATAAAAATGGATGGAACAAAATATATTGATGAGGGAGAGGAGAGTAAAGATACTCTTTCCCGGCCAATCAATTATCTTAGTGAGCTTGTGCTGCACCTAATCCTCTCACAGTTTGAAATGATTGCTATGCCAATTGGTGCATATCGTTTTTGACTTGCCAGGCTAGGGACAAAGGAGAATTTTAAAATGGCTGTGACAAACAGAACTCTGTGAGACTGTTACTAACAAGGATTACTCTTGCGTGTTTTTGTGTTTATACTTCCCTTTGAAATAGTGCCAAGACAAATGTCCATGTTTGTTTTGTTTTCTATTGATGTCTTGTGATCTTTACCCTTTAGATCTGCAAGCCTATGGCTTTATTCTTTGCAAATGACAGGAAGGAGTTAATGCCCATTGCAATCCAGCTGTTCCAGAAGCCGGCAGATGATAATCCAGTGAGTTTAATCTAGACACCAATAAGTTCACAAAGAGAAGTTCACATGTTGTTGCAAATATTATTTGCTAGTGTTGGAAAGCTTGATGAGTTTGCTTGATGTTGATGTGCATTGTTTATTGTAGGTTTTTGTACCAAGTGATCCTAAATATACCTGGATGTTGGCCAAGATGTATTACAACAATGCTGATGCCGCATTCCACCAATCCTGCACTCATCTTGGTAAGTGTTATGGAAACACTGTACCATTTCTTAATGCCCTTAAACCCTTCTCAATCTGCCAGTCAAAAAATGTTTCTAACTTTTAGTTGCTGAAATTAAACCCTTGTGTGAGGTCATTAAAAAGAAAGCTATTCTAAATTTATGTGCTACAAATTTGTTACTGGTTAACTAGCATCAAGGGCATCTGTCTAGAAATGACATTAATCTCACTCTTGTGTTAAAAATGAAGACTTGTTTGAATATGGGACAAACACTTTGAGGTCAAAGTAAACTCTGACAGAATTCTTTGGCTTAACTTAAAATGCAGGCTTCACCCATTTGGTAGCTGAAACAATGTGCGTGNTATCCAACAAGTGTGAGTGGAATGACTGTTTTGTTAAAACCATCCCCAAAATATAGAAAACCAAAATAAAATGCAAATAAAAACACCCCCAAAAATTTGTGTATGTTTACCATATTTATAGAGCATGGTATAATGGCTCTTATACCACGATGGCTAAGCCAATGAAAACTCTTGAATTACATTACCAGATGATCCAGTTGTTAATAATGAGTATTATGTTTATTTCTAATTTATATCAACTTACTTTTCAGTTGGTATAACTGGAGGATGGATGTAGATGGATGGTTGCCTTCTGATTTGGCCCAAAGGGGGGTATGTTTTTACACTGTCCAAATGTGTACTCTCTGTGAAATGGTGATTGAGAATTTTTGTGGTTTTAATGCAATATTGTTGTTTTGAAGGTTGATGATGTGGAAGCCTTTCCAAACTACCCCTACAGAGATGACGCACTGCTCATTTTTGAAGCCATTCATACCTATGTCCGTGAAGTATTGGAAGCCTTTTATGGTGAGAATTGAAAATCTGTTAATAAATTACTGTGGTCCATATGGAACAATCGCCTCATGGTTAGTGTGCTCGACTCAGGATCGAGTGGTCCGGATTCAAGTCCTGGCCGGGGACATTGTGCTGTGTTGTTGGGCAAGTCACTTTACTGTCATGGTGCCTCTCTCCTCCCAGATGTAGAAATGGGTACTGGCAAACTTAATGCTAGGGTGACCCTGCAATGGACTAGCGTTCCATCCAGAGGGGAGTAGAAATACTCCTAGTCACTTCATGATACAGAAACCGGGACAAGCTCCGGCGTGATGGACCATTTGGCTCATATGTAGAGTTAACCTTACCAAACCTATACGGTCTTTTTACCACCATTGAGAATGTCTGCATTCCCAAATTTCCTTATGGATTAAAAAAGTTGAATTTGATGAATATTCTTTAATGTTGGTGTTTATTTCTTCATTTCAAATTTAGATACACCAGAGAAGTTGACAGAAGATTGGGAAATCCAGAATTGGGGACATATGTTGGCTGATCCTGAAGACGGTTTGGGAATTAAGGTAGAGATTGGCCTACCATTAACTGACTGACCAGCAAGTTGTTACAGCAAGTTGCTGCCTGACTGTTTGACTGTTTGATTAGTTGACTGACTGTTAGCGCAACCGACTGACAATTTTTCTCAAGGGTTCCTTATAAATCGAATTTCAAAATAATGTTTGCACCCTCTTTAAGACCTACTATGAAACATCCCTTCACTCTAAGAACACAAGGAACAAAGGTTTATCAGTGAAACTACTTAAAGTTCGCCTTGAATTTGGGAAGAAGAGCTTTCACTATCAAGGTGCCCAGATTTTTAATGAACTGCCAATCAAATTTAGATCCATAATTTCAAGAACATTTTTACTAATTTTGTACACCGTTTTTACCCATTTTTACCTTTTTACCTTATTTTCACTGTAGTCTGTTCTACAGGACACTGATAACAGTTTTAAATACACTGATGGGTCATCCTGTTTAAATTTTCGTTGTTATTATCATTATCATTATCATTATCATTATCATTATCATTATCATTATCATTATCGTTATCGTTATCATTATCCTTATCAGTATCATTATTTTGATGATGATGTCTGGAAGTGATTGAGTTCACTTACATGTATTTATTTCCTAGGGAGTATTTGGAGACGGCAAGTTTACAGTATTAGAGGATTTGATCAAAGCTGTGACCTCGATTATCTTCATCAGTAGTGTGGGACACTCTGCAGCAAATTTTGCTCAGTATGACGAATACGCCTTCCCACCCAACTATCCCGCTTTCCTGCGGGGAAAACCTCCGACAAACAAGGTAAATGAGTTTTTAAAATTGTACAACCTAAGCTGTTGAGATAAGTTAAGCTTTCAGTTAAAATTACGTTTGTACACTAACCTGCGATGCGTACCTGTTCTCGTCTACTGGTAGCGCGGAAACTGGGTCAAGAACAAAAAATCGACGGGGAGAGACGTAGAGAGGGGGATGACCAACGCATTTTCCCGCCCTTGGCACCTGCTGCATGCTGTAACTTAGCCGGGGTGTTGATTGGTTAACTGTGCAGTTACGGCTTGTTGTTATGCCCACCAACTCAAATACGTTTTCCGATTGGAGGAGAACGTGTCACTTGTGGTGTGTCAAAACTCGCTAATTCCCTAGAGCGAACAAAACTCACTAACTCCCCAGGGAAACAACGTGAACTTTCGACTCGCACGTGATCAGGTTGTGCACCTTGAAACCGCGGCAAATTTGTTGCGCTAGCTGGCGTCAAGCAAACAATTTTTTCGTTTTTTTTTTCTCTTTTTGAGTTGGGAGGTATAACAAAACACTTCATGACTGGCTCCACTGGAAACAGTGAGTTTTGTTTCCTCGAGACCCCCAATGTTCCCCAGACGAGGCTCAAATAGACAAATACTGTTTTAATGTTCCGTGTAAAGTCCGGTTTAGATTGTTGTATTCTTATTGTGATTGCAGGAACCCCTGATGGAGAAAGACATCATCAACTCTCTTCCAGTGAAAGATATGACATTGGACATCATTCTTGTGACGAAAATCCTCAGCGATCGTGGCACAAATGCCCTGGGTGACTTTGAAGTGCAGTACATGTACGATCCAAGAGGAACTAAACCTGTTGAAAAGTAAGGCAATCATTTCTTAAGTATTTCTTTCTGCCATTGTTTCAATCTCACGCGCCTTTTGTCGAATATTTTGTCGCCAATTAATGCAGGTCCACTATCCTGGTCGAATTGGAATTTGGAGAGGTTGGTTTTTGTGGAGGGAGGAAAAGCGGAGAACCCGGAGAAAAACCCTCCGAGCTAGGCGAGAACCAACAACAAACTCAACCAACTTACGGCACGAGGCCGGAATCGAACACGGGCCACGTTGGTGGGAGGCGAACGCTCTCACCACTGCACCATCCCTTCTCCCTAATTGTTCAATTTAACTATACTCTATATTTACTGTAACTGGTTATAGAAGCCAGTGAGGTTCACTCTCTCTCATCAAATCGATGTTGCGGTGATTGTTATTTTAGGTTAAAGAAGCGTTTATTGGAAGTGAGTGACATCATAGCCGAGAGGAACAAGAGTCGGCCATTTCCTTATCCATACCTGGACCCTAAAGAAGTACCCAATGCAATCAGTATCTGAATAATGCACCCCACGACACGGAGAAAACTGGGGACGATTGCCAACACAAGGGATTCGTTACCAGGACTCATTGCTTGAATAAGGACTACGCTGCGAAATAAACAACAATGACATTGCTATAGAACGTGACTTTTCGTGACAACAAAGTGTGAATTCTTGTTCATATTCAGTGCATGTAGCAGCTCTCGTAAGGTCTCACATGAATGGCTCGATATCCTTAAGGGAATAATAAAACAAACAACAGAAACAATGCCCCCTAGCCCTAAAACAATAACAGCTTACGAGGGCTGCTACTTCTGTATTCAACATTTTTTAAGGTGATGAAAGCCTGATTTTAGTACCATTATCCAAGTATGGAAATTATTTATAGGTTAATAATGTTTACAGCTCTCGGTTATTTCGTCCATGTAAACGTTTTATTAATCAGACTAACTGGTCGAACCTAAATTTAACACTAGATCTCACTGTTTTGAAGACGGTTTCTGAACAAAAGAGGAGTATTCTTTCGACGAATTTTGAAAGTCGATCAATTTTACTTTTGTGGAGCTTGATCCGTTTCCAATTTTCACGATTTCAGTGACACAGTCGCTAGATTAGCGCCGTTGGAACAGCAGAAGACAGCTCCTATGAAACTTGAGCAAATTTTGTAAAAATCATAACCAAACGTTTTTGTAAGTTTATATGAGTGATAGAGGTGAGGAATTCAATTTAGCACTTATTAGAGCGGTTTTCGCTTGAGGGTCGGAAATATTTGGCTTTCACCTTCTGCGCCTCACGCCTGGCTTACATGTGAAAAAACTCGCGCCATTTTTTCATCCAATCTTTGCAGAAATTGAATTTGTTGAAGTACAACCAAAACTAATTGTGACGCGTTCGCATACATTTTCCCGCGCTTCGAGTCAGCAACATGTAATTACTTCGAGTTTTGATTGGTTGATTGGATTGTCTGTGTCCTTTGTGATTGGCTAGAGTAATCACTTTGGTTTTGGTGTTACGACACTCCATTGAAAACCATTCTATTTACCGTTTACGTATTTTTCACGGTGTTGCAATTCAGTTAGTGCTAACACTAAGACTCTTTTATAAAGAATCGACAAATAAACTAGATAACAGGTTTACCTGTAAGCAGGCATTTTCAGTGTAACTGCTTAATTTCAGATAAACAGATATTTATTTTGTACACTTGGAGAGAAATCTCCTTATCATACGTCCAGTAAAAAGTTAGTTTAGTGGCGTGCAAGTACACAGTTAATCTTAATTTCATTGTAACGAAAAAAAAAAAAAACATTGGGCGAAAGAGCTCGTGCACTTTAAGTATTTACCTGATTCTGCTTCGAGTCAAAGTTTGACGTTAAGAAACGCAGTATGTGACTATTCAAACGAAATCTACTGAGCAGTACGTTTTGTTTGGCAAAATGGAACAGGGCTTATTTTAATAAGACATCTTGATTCTCTTGGGAGTGGAAAGGTTGCTGATTAGCTCGTGAAAGTTGTCCATTAAAGAGATCAGATGGCTACCTGCATGTCTTTGTTGTTGTTGATTGAGAAATGGAAAATAAGGCCCCGACCATATTACGCTGGGGAAATTTGAAAACGGCGTATTCACTCTAAAAGCGCATTAAGTGTTTTCCATCCACACTATGCCGGAAAAATTTGAAAACGGAACAATCACCGTTTATTTTGGATTTGTGTTTGAGGAAATTTCGGGCAGGAAAATCACATGATTATCCTGACATAATCGTTTTCGAAACTGAAGCTCCGCTTTCAAAATGTTTTCCGTCCTCTCACTAAAACGCAAAGCCAGCGTTTTCAAATTCCTCCGGTTTGAAGAGCGTTTTCGACAAACACCGTTTTCGTGACAGGTAAGTGTGGACGGAAGACCGCCTAACCGTAGAAATAAAGCTGCGTTTTCAAATTTCTCCAGCGTAGTGTGGACACTAACCGAACTACATGTCTCTGGTTGATAAAAGAAATCTAAATAAGATGGACGTTGTGGCAGAATAACAACGCAGGCAATGTTACGTTCACCAACTACCACAACTTCCTTACGGTTACCACTTACAGGAAGGGGAGAACAGGAACTTATCTTGCCTTTTCTTGAGCTCGTTTGGCTCTTTTTGCAGCAGGGGCGAGTAATTTGAGTTTTCGTTCTTAGATTTGTTACAATTCCGTTTACGGGAAATTTTTTCATATAAAGAAATAAGTTGAAAATATCTTTTCAGTTCCTGATAAACAAATAAAGTTTGATGGAATTGTTCAGAATCACTGAGAGTAAGATACATTATTATCCAACTGCAGCGAATATCGTCCAAGTAGCAGTACAACTATACAGCGATATTGTACAGTTATTTGTACAGTCTAAAACCTGTTTGCCGTACAGGTCGGCGCGTGCACGCAAAACTGGCGCACTTTCCCTCTTTCACTGATAAATTTATTGACTACAGCAGTTGGATAATAAATCTCTTATTAGATGTTTTGGTGTGTGTATCGCTTTATATCTTTACTCGTTGTTTGTATTTTGATTCGCCCTACGGTTCGTAAAAATATACAGTGATACTACACACCAAAATATCTAATAAGGTATATTTATTCTGTTGAGGATGAAAAAACACTAGCTATAGCTTGCTTCGTTGTGGGTCTTCTACTTCTACGCAGCTCGAAACATCTATCCACTGTTCGCGATCCTACGTTATCGGTTCTTGTCATGTTGGTGTCTCGAAACGTTTTTCACGTAGTATCAGCCTTGTAGTCTGTTGTTTGTCTTTATATATATATTTTTGGCTGATCATATCTCTTGTAGATCCTACGTTGGCAGCGTTTATCGTATGCGGTCCCTTGCAGTTTCTGGTTTCTCGAAAAGTTGGGCCTTGAAGAAAACTGAAGTAACTTGGAGAGAACCCTAGCTGAGCAAAGAAAGAGAATCAACAACAAATTAAACTCAACCCACATGTGGACCCTAACTTGAATGGGCCTATAAATCGGTGAGAGGGAAGCAATTTGATAGCCAGATTCATTCTACAGTCTCCACATTTCCTTTGGGGAGCCGCTGCTGCTCTCCAGCTTCTCCGCAGTGTCTCGGCGCACATTGCGCGGGAATTGAGTGGAAACCTGGGCCTGAAACTCCTCCAATTCAACATGGCGGGCGAAACTGTGGAACTCAGCCAACTTCCAATCCCACATTTAGAAAATCTGAGATCTCAATTAGAGGAGGCGAGTATAACGCTGACTGAAGGAAGTTAAACTTTATCAGGTGGATGGACTTTGAGTTAATGATGTGTTTCATTTAGGAAGTGAAAATACTCGGAGATTCTATGAGCCAGCTAAAAGTGGCCCAGCAAAAGTTCGGAGACTCGAAAGAAAATGTAAAGAAACTAATTAATAAGGAATCAGGTGAGCACAGACTTTTAATAATAGAAGCAACTATGCTTAAGTGTATCGGTTGCACGTATTAAAAAACGTATTTCGAATTTATTCTACAGGAAAACGTATCCTCGTACCACTGACAAGCTCTGTATCCTTTTGATCTTTGTGCACATTTCATTGGGTGGGTTGTGCGGTGATGTTAGGGTAGTCAATGACGACAAATTTCGGAGGGTTTACGGCGTGATGCTGGAAGCACTCAAATTTGACTTGCCTTGTAAATGAGAAGGGATCGTAAATTCATAGCAATGAAATTACTAAATTAATATGAAACTTCGTGTAAACTAAACGAGTTCAAACGAGTAGTATATAGGCAAAGGGCTTACGAACGACACGGATCATACAACACAAGGGAATTGTTTTTCAATCAATGACTTGTAACTTGCTCTCTTTCCCAAGCCACCGTCCCTCGGGCATCTTTTATCACAAATCCCATACTATTCCCATTGATTACCCATGGGTTGGCTGTCATGGGTTTTGGGTTGAGGTCAGCCACAGGATTACTGTTGTTGATACCTCCAAACATCATTTGAGTGTGTGATACATAACAAGGGGTATTGAATCATGTGTACTATAGGTATCTGTACATGTGGTTGAGTGTCAATCAATACCCTTGGTCATCTCTCAGTCGACAGACACTTGATCAGCATCTCGATCAACACTCAATCAACATCTCAATCAATACCTAGTCAACACTAGTCTGACACTTGATTGACATTTAATCAACACACAATTGACACTTGATTGACACTCGATCGACGGTTGGTCAATAGTTGGCAGAGTGTCGAATGACTCATATGTATTGATCACCAATTGATGGCGTGACAGCGAAAATGAGTCTACTCTCAACCAGCTGTCAAATGAGATGTCAATTGAGTATCAATTGAGATGTTGATCAAGTGTGGATGGAGGGCATCAATCGACACTTGACCCTATATGCTTTTGGTACACATGATCCAGGGTATTTTTACTGGGTTTGGTAGGTTGTATTAATTTTGTATTTGAAAGTGAAAAATAGCCATGATGCTCAGATCAAATCTGTTAATTGGATGGTAGACTCTCAGGACTCCAAACTGGAAAAGATCAACTGGGTGGGCAAGAACCGAAGATTTATGGAAACACCATGACACTTGCATCAAGTTTCCAAATTACCACCAAACATCAGTCAGTAATCAGTTGCTTGACAGGCAGGCAGACTGAAAGACAGATGGACAGACAGACAGACAGGCACGCAGACGGGCTGACAGACTAACAGACAGAGATAGACAGAGAAACAAACAGAGAGACTGACAGACAGACAGACAGACAGACAGACAGACAGATAGACAGGCAGGTAGAGACAGACGGGCAGATTGACAGACAGACACAGATAGCATTAACTTCCTGCAAAAAGTCATTCTCATAGCATAAAAGTATGAAATAATATTTTAGAGGTAGACCTAACAGTAAATAAATGATAACTTCTAAAAACCAGAAAAGAACATTTTTCTTTAAGTCATGTCAGATGTATGTCCCTGGAACTCTTGAAAACACAAAATCTGTTTTAGTTAACATTGGAACTGGTTACTTTGTAGAGAAGGTAGGCAAAGAAATGTTGCCTTCAACTAGCCACCAGCATGTATACTGAAACAACAGTTTCTTATTCCTAAAATATATTTTACACACGTATATTAAATTGTTGTTGGACTGGTGTTCAGACCTCAGATTCAGGCACATAAGAACATCATGCAGACATTTTATTTTGGCTAGGACCACAAACACATACGTGTAATACATTAAATGTATTATAAATTTTGTAATCTCTCTTAGTAGATGATTAAAAAAACAGTTTTAACATTTTTATTGTTCCACTAATAGGAGTGGGGGTTAAAATGTGGTTTACATTCATTTTTAGAGATTGAATCATATTCAAATGATCAAAACAAAAGCAGCCATATTCCCTGCAAACTGAGTTTTTTTTTTACATTGATAGATGTTATTGGTATTAAATGCCAAGTTTTCTAATGTCAGATGAACTGACTTTTCTTGTTGCCTTTAGGGTCTGAAGGAGGCTGAGGAATATTTTGGAAGGAAAGTAGACTTGGTTACAAAACAGCTGGAGCTTCTACAACCTAAGCTAGTTGAAAAACACAAATTACGACAAGGTACAGTTTTGATGAGTACTATAGGAGGTGAAACTTGATTGCCTTACAGCACTTAAAAACTGTGCTTAATCAACGGTTTTGTGGTTTGTTACTGTCAATCATCTCAGCAGACCTCTCAGGAAACAGAAGTTTACTTCAACAGGTTGAAAAGGTTGTGGGTTGTGATTGGTAGATTTTGACCCCTTTTGTTTGTTTGTTTTTTCCAAAGTTCATCGGTTTTTGTCGTAATTATGATTGACAGCAGCCAAAAACACAATCGTCAGTTTGCATGCTATCAAAAGGTGCAGTAATTCCAATCACTCGTTTGTAATGTTTGTTTGTTTTTTTGTAATTTTAACTAAATTTTTTAATACTTTTTTGTTATTTTTATCGTAGCTGTTCAAGATATGTTGAGTGCAAAGGTCCAGGCTCAAGTTCAAGCTCAGTTAGGTGGCATTCCTGCAAAGACATAAAAAATTCCCATCAACCAAGTGATTCCTAAACACTTGTGCAAAGAGCATATAAGCTGATGAACTTGCAAAAAACCACAATATGACCCTTTTCTTTCAGGGCTGTATAACGTTGAATTGACAATCCTAACCAGGACTTATACAACACACAATTTTTTTTATCAACAGTGTACTAACAAATACTACAAATTGAAAACAGGAGCATTATGTAAAAGATGTATAGTGTTTGTATGGACTTTGCACTTCTGACTTTCGCTCACATTTTAACGCTCGCAGTCACTAAGCTTAAGGGTTTCATTAACATTTTCAGTAGGAGGGTAAATGGTTTTCACAGGCAAGCAAAACAGTGTGAATTAAAAAACCTTTCCTCTAGATGGTCAAACTAGGTGGACAAAATCATCCTAACAGCCGGCCAATTTGTCCAGTGCCTGGCCCTTAATGAAACCCCTAAGTCACCAGTCAACAGTGAACCAGCCTGTAATTTTGGTTTCAATTTAGGAGTTTTTGTATTTATCATAATACAGGTGCTGGTCTTGTAAAAGACTTGTTGACAGCCAATGCTTAGTGATATTTTGATGATCAACATAGTACTTAGTCGTATTTGGTTGACTCAAAAGATTGCTTCTGCCCAGATTATTGAAATTATGCCTTAAACAAACTCTTTTTTATATCCCTGAAGCTACAAACAATGATGAAATCCAAAGAGACAACAGTTGTACTAGATCTTTAATTTATCTTTATATTACATGCATATATTTTACAATGCCATTTAGTTGTATTTAAATCTCAGAATTAGGTTTTATTTGTCACAACTTATCAGCTGTAAAATCAGAAATTGAGAATCAAAGTATAGGAGTCAGAAATTAATAAAATAGATCTCACTGATTTGGTTTGCAATTTATAGTCTGTTGAGAAAGTCTAATACTAATTATTATAATATTCCTCGATCCTGAAATGATTCAACTTTCTAGCTGTTTTGACTAACATACCTAATATTAGCTTAACAAAGCTGTTTATTCTTACAACTTACTAACACTTGCAGACCAAGGAGAGGTGCCCTGGAGCCTAGTCCCTCCCTTTACCTTCAATCTGGCCCTTTAGGCCCATTTTCATTTGGAGCCCTTGTCTTTTGGCACAAAAAGTTCCATCTTTACTTTGCATACCCCCTTTGAGCACCAATCTCTTTTCCCTTTTTGATTTACAAAGCAGAATTAGCAGACCTATTTAAGTTTGGCTCTATTTTCTTGAAGTGCCATCCCTGTAACTTGTTTTAAATCCATCATGGCAAACGTAATTAACAAGAACTTTCAATTTCGGCAAAACCATTTGCAGTGTCAAAAATTAAACTTGTAGCTTATCGCAGTTTATTATAAATTTCTTTTGTTCTGTATCTCAGTCAAGTAGAATTTTAATATCTTGAAATGACTACACCTTTTGCAACTGATTTTTCCATTAGCAATATTTAACAGAGGTAAACCTTTTTAGTAATAATGCTTTCTTTAACGCAGTCATAGTTTTAATTTTAAAATTGCAGGACAACAGATCTTGCAGTCTGTTTGTCTTTAATCCTCATTTGTCAGCTCTCAGCTGTCAGTGAAACAATGGCCAAAGATGAAATATTCCTTTTTTTCTATTTATTCCCTAGAAAAATTGTTATGAGTGTTTTTATCCATCATCTTGTTAATTTTTACGACCGTGTAAAAAGAAATCCTAGAGATTAATTGCTACGAACGTAAAAGAAACTTCCGAAAGTATTTTATTCTTTATTCCCTTTCTTCCTCAACAAAAGCGCAAGTATAAAAGGTTTCTCTTGTTGGGGGTACAAACGTCTTCTTCGTCATCTGTTACGTGCAAAGGGTAATCCTTAACTCCACAGGAAAGTGGTTGCTATTTTGATTTTGTCATAACAAATTTAACGAGTTCAATACGGACTAACCTAATTTGCATAGTTTTGCATAAATTATAAGGCCTGCGTTTACATTTCCCCCATCAACATGGCAACAGAGGCCGAATTCACGAAGAAGATTGATTATCATTCATTTTAGCGACGATAATCGCATAGAATTACTTTATTTCGCTTTTTTTGTGCTACACCGCTTGGAAGATTTCAAGAATTCGCCGTACATCAGCTTGAGAAGTTGCGTTTGGTGTCATTTCGATCGGTTGACATTGGGAAGGAGTACATTTTTCGACAACTTTTGGCTTCGCTGATTATTGTACCTGGTTTCTGAGGTAGAAATGTCTGACGGGGAAGCTGAGAACGTGAGGGTGGCAGTTAGGGTCAGGCCATTTATATCCTTTGAACGTTTAAAAACTGTTCTTTTGTAGGAACGAAATTAAACTGTGTGACACGGCGCGTACATGCAGGCAAGTTCATCATGCAATCTGTTTGACACGGCAATTCATATAACTTACTGTAAATAACGGACTGTCCAGTTCTTTACGACACTCCAGGATTACTGTTTCTTGCAACGTTATCAAGATTTTATGAAAAGATCAAGGTTCAACCAAAAATATACGCTTAAAAAAACATATTTCACCAACACCTCGATCGGACGTCCTTTAGCGCACTACACGCGCGATTAAGAGAAAGCACTTTACGCTACACTAACGATTTTAATTTTTAGATTTTGATTAATATATCAATGAAAGTTACCTTAGAGTTGAATATATCTGTAAACGACCTTGATCCAAAAGCGAATCGTTGTGTGACAACTGACTAACCTTCCAGCAGCAATTTATCGCGTTTCACCTATAAGCTCAATCTTAGTTGTTTTTCATTTTTCCGTGATCTAGCTGTTTGCATTTCGATCAAAACAGTACAACAGCATGTAACGTCGTTTCCCTCCCGATAGTACCGGCCCCTTATCAGACCCTTAGACCAAATGATCTGAGACGACCGGAAGTGTATTTTTAACGATGCAGATTTTTGCAGTAGGAATTTGAGCTCATGTTATATCGCAATTGAAATTTTTTGAGTTTCTACAACTGCCTCTCTATTTCATTCTTCTGGGAAGTTGACTTTTAGTTGTTGTTGTTATTATTATTATTATTATTATTATTATT